TTTTTTTTTTTTTTTAATAAAACACTGTTTTAAGATAGAGCACAATAAATGTGCTTATTACGCACTCTAACATAGAGCACAGAAATACAACACTACAGTGTGCAAGTCTAACCATCTCCACAGTGGGAAAAGTGCGAAGGTTAAAAATATGCATGTGGCTTAACACAAGATATTTTTAAAAAACATGACACAGAAATCTTATACTAATGCTTTCATCTTTACCACAAACATGACTGAAAACTTAAGGTCAGTTGCTGATCCTTCTCTCGCAGTAGTAGTAGTAGTGTAATCCTTTCAATGGTACAATGTTGGAAAGATCAGAGAATAAAAAAACCCAAGTGTCCAAAAATGATCCCATTTACCACTTTTCCAGTAGTTACATTTTTCAAGAAGTAAACGTGTAAGGTCACCTTGATCTTCACCATCAGTAACTGATACACTTGGAAACAGCTAAGCCAACCACCTGGACTGAGATCAGTTCAGCGTCGCACACGCACACACACACACGGATACACACACAAATACCCCACAGGAAAAAGTGCACTTTCAATTGCTGATACAAAAATAGATTGGCACATTCTTTTTGACACAGTGAAGATATCTTCTTTAAAAGCTTTTGCACTTTAAGAAGTCCTCTTGGAATTTGCAGCAGGTCTGTAGAAAAAGCGCTACGAGAATGCACTCAGTGGGCTTCCAGGGTTTGTGTGATGAAGAGAGGGGTGGTCATGGAGGCTGCCCTTCTAATTTTTGCCTACTTTTATAGCTGTAGTCCCTACAGGTAGGGTCAGTTGCCACCCAGTTTCAGCACGTGAACTATTTACCAATAGCTCAGTCTTCACCTGCTTTGAGAAAGTAACGATACATAAATTCATCAAAGCCAAGAGTCGATGCAGTATTTCCTGTAGCCAGAAAAACTGTTTTAGGGGGGGAGAGAGAGCGAAGTATTAGGAGTCTGATTTTGCATTTCCAGTAGTAACTGCGGCTCGGGAGAGCCAAGGGGGAACAGTCGGGAGCCCCTTCCCCACCGGGCAGCCAGCGCTAGGAGTTCTGCACCAAGCGTCTGTAGTGCGGCATCACCTCGTGCTCGGGAAGGTGGAGAGCGAACTCCAAGGCCACCAGCACCGGGAACTCAAAGGCGATCAGCTCTCGCCTGTTCAGCCGGAACTTCTCTTCCAGTTTCTGCAACCACAGCCAAGGGGAAAAAAACAAATTAACAAAAATTCAACGAGGGTTTGCCTTTCTAGAGCTTTCCCACAAATGACATTATTCAAAACACGCATGCTGCTGTCATTAAACTTCTGTCCTGATCGACTTGCATGGCTCTAGCTTTAGGAAATCAGAGCTGTGTGAACTGGATGTACCCAATCCTTACTGTGAAGGTGAACTCATAGAGCTCAGCCAGCCGTGCTATTTCTGACACGTTCGTCACTTCACTCATTCCACTGTGAGCAGATACATCTTCTAACGATCACAGTGATTACCACTGCAGCAACAGGAAATTCCTGGCTTCATGCAAACATCAAAATCACTTGTGTAATGGGAGACACGCATCTTGTAATTGTCCACAAATTTCCTGCACTCCTTGAAAACACTAGTTTTCCTTTCAGTGTTAGGCTGTGCTACAATGCCCTGTTGGGGAAACGATTCTGCCACAATTTGATTTTAATACTTCTGAGGCAGAAGGTGTCATAAGAACAGTGAATAATAGAAACTGCTATCCTCAGGAGGGATGAGATGGGTTTTATAGTTGTTTTTGTGCTGTAAGGTACTAAACCTCCCATTGGTTCTGGTGTTTTCACTGGATGTGGATGCTACAAGCAGGCTTGTAACCAATTGCTCAAGGATATTTCCACCCCTCATCCTCTTACGATCTCCCTGGCTTGCTACTTCTCTGCCCACTGGGTCTACTGCAAAGTTCAATGTATTATGGATGGGCCAACGTTTCAAGATAGCAAGAGAGGCCAGATCTTCTAGTTCCACTTGGCTGATTTTTTTTTTAATTTGTAATTATTCAGAGGGCTTTCTAACAAACTGACTGTCAGCCCAGCTCTGTGACTGCAGGAGGAGGGCATGAGTCCAGCCTTGCCCCCCATCCATGATCCCATGTCTCTTCCATTGAGTGAGCTGGTTGTAGCCACATACCAAGACACTAGCCTAACTTTCTGTAGCATTAAATCATATTGGTACCTAGGTGCTTGCAGAGGATTATGACATAACACCCCCATGGTACCTCTTTCATGTGAAGTGGGTAGAAGACCCACCCCCTGCAAAAAACATCTGGACTGAGGTGTTCTAATGGGAACACCTCCTTAGGCTTTCTCATCCAAAAGCTGAACTTGACAAAAGAAATACAAATGTCTATTGGACTCCATTTGAAATTAGTATTTGCATTTAATTCCCAAAGGAGAATCCTTACTGACACTCCTGAAAACACAATTAAAAGCAAAATTAATTTCCTGAAGGTTCACTTGGTGCCTTGTATTGCCAGAATGACAGTCATATACACCTCAAACCTCACAGCATCTGACACCAGGACCTTCTATCCCATCAAACAAGCTTCCCACACCTCTGCAGGGACATTGATCACTACTGCTTCCACAAAAATGGGTAACAAGAAAAGATATTTAGCTGGCTGTACAGCTGGAAGCCTAGAGGAGAGCATGTCCACTGACAAACAGACTTGCACAGACCACACACTGGCACTTCATGCAGATGGAACACTGGAGTCCTATAGATACGTACATCTATAAGATGCTTGACTTCATGTTTTCTGAGGTCACTGCCAATTTTGGCTGCTAAAAGAACACAAGCTCCAGCACAAAGCTTTCTATTCTGCTTGTTCAGCTTCCCCTTGAGAGCGAGCTTCTCAAAGTAGACAAAGGCCATGGCCACTGTGGGCTCTTCAAAACCACATTCTTCTTGAGCAAGCTTGCGCATTTCTCTCTTCAAGCTGAGTAAAGAGACCAGACAAATATGCCATGAGGTGAATTTTAAAGCATTTCTCCTTTCACCCTAAGAGCCACGCTTTCAGAGATTCCTCCTGAGTCAAATGGCAGGGAAAACATAATTTGCTGGGCAGATACCCTTATTCTGTTTTGGGGGCACATTTCATGGCAAATTTTTACATCACCCGCACTGCCCCCAAAAGACAGTTGTGTCAAACTATAAAAGCAACGAAAAAAGCTCTGACATTTTTAGCAACAATATTTTATCAGAGGTCTTACACTGCATACATTTGTTTAGTGTATATATATTTATATCATAATAACATTTTCATTATTGGTGCTCTGTACGCTGCTTTTGCTGCGGGATATGGTCGGTCAAATCCAAACTGACAGTTCTGCCCATCTACTGCAGCACTGCCTGGTTACTGAGCAGTGTGGCTCAGTGTCCTTCTGGCCACTAGGGTCAAATGAAATTATCATTACTTCAGTGGAGCAGTATGTCTAGCCTGCTACACCAGAAACAGAGATGGAATATTACAACTCTGCTGTGAAGCCAACTACTCTTTTTGCTTCTGGCCAAGGCACAAAAGTCAGCACTTCTCTTTCCTCAGTCTCTTTTTAAGCCAAGTGCCATGAGCTTAGAGACTCCTGTGTTATTTTTTTGAGTATTTTAATACAGTGCATGCCCAGCTCTCATCCTCATCCTGCTAGATGCTGTGTTTGACACCTGACCAGTGCATGTTTGCACATTCCTCTATCCTGTTTACTCATCCCAGTAATCAAAGCAATCATCTGACTTACTCTGCACCTCTGCTGGTCACTGCTCCTGGAAGATCAATCAGAGCTGTGCTTCCTCTCATGTACAGCAGGAATTGCACTGACATGTGAGACAGCTGCATCACGTTGCAGCCTTATTGAGCTTTGCAACGTACCTTCTTATTTTACTGAGGGTTAGCTTGATGTGAGGGAACTTCTCCTTAAAAGTCTCATTCATGTCCTTCTTGAGATCTGATGGCTTCACGTAGTCTATGACCGTGGTCTGTAACACACGTCAAGAGAAAATTACTCTTTTAGTTTGCAACAAAGAAGATCACTCAATTCCCAGAAACAGGAAATCCCAAACAAGTGCCAGTCAGTCCCAATGCTTTCAGCAGACAGGAAAATGAAGTCTGAACTAAGGCAACTATTTATTTGTGGCTGACAAAACAAGTAACCTGTTCAGGCCTTGAACAATACATACCTCATTAGCATCCTCCAAGTATTGCTACGAGTGATTTTAAGATAAATGTGTGTGGATGAAACCCACCTGAGAAGTCTTGTAAGATAAAAAAAACCCCATCACAATAACTGATATGATGACTAGATTTTGGTGCATACCTCCATGTGGTTCTGAGATCCATTCTGAGTTTCTCTCAAATTGATTCTTTAAAGAAACCACTTTTAAACAAATTTTGACTGCTGTAGCATACATTTATGATAAAGTAAGTAATCAGCTTGTATGGCAGGTCACTCAGTAGAGTGGAAGGCAGCAATGTGGTAAGTTAGGCAGTAAATGGACAAAAGAGTAAGGACAACATTCAAAGTGTACAGCTCTCTGTCTCCTTTGGGCTTCCTATTCCAGCCTAAGGAATCTCCCCAGTTTGCAGAGAGTTCTCCCGGCCAACACAGCACCTGCATCTGTGGGTGTCCAGCACTTCTCTTGTTCCCTTAGTCTTTGTTCAGATAGCATTCTGCCCAAATCCTCTGTTATCATTCACCTGGCCAAAATCTATCAGCTCAACAACAAACCAACCTTTCTTTTGGGAATGTGTAAATTCTCTTCCAAGCTATGGCAGTTCTGCCCATTGGACAGAAGTGGAGAGGAGCCCCAGCTTGGGCACCTGGGGGACAGCCTGATCCCCAGGCATCCAGCAGCTCCCTGCCAGCCTCAAGCATGTAAAAGAGCAGCAGTTGATAGTGCAGTGAATTCTCCTGCTCATAAAACAGTATTTCCCTTCTGGTTTTGATTAATCTGTATTACGGCAAAGGGCTGTTAACACCAAACAACAAGAGGTGGAAAGAGGCATGCAAAACCCTTGCTGTACGTTATGCCTTTATAGAAGGTGGAGCTCTGTTGTAATATATCCTCATGGGAATTGAAATCAGTCAAAAAGACTGACTGAATATGTTTTCAGACATTTTTTTTATAATTAAAATTATATATGGAAGGGCTTGGGGAATACAAAGTGCAATGGCTCTAGAGAGAAACCAGACAATTCCCTTTATCCAGTCATGTTGTTCTCTGTTTCCAAAATAAGCATGAAGGAGTATAAAACACACCTAACTTTTCCTGCACTTTATTTAGGAGATATGGTACTGACATACTAGGACTTCAAAACAGAGCAGAGTTTGTGTTTCCCCTGAATAGGGCCCAGCAGTATTTGAGGCAAACATAATAGAGAGTAAAACCCCAAGTTTTTGCCACAGGATGTTGTTATGGTCATGAACACGTTTTAAAACATGGGCCATTCTGCCACACCAACACTCTTCAGCCACACCTGCATCCCTGCATGTGTATGGATGAGTCTGACTGCAGGTTCAGGCAGACAGTGCAGTGCCCCTGAGGTTAAAAATTCATAAGCTGCCTTGATGCTGAAGCAGGCAATGTGCTGCCACACCTGAATAAAAGGAAGAGAGGAAAAGACCAGGAGGAGAAGCCTTGCCCTACCCAGGATCAGTGGGAAAGCCTTCAATGGAATGTGTGGGCCTGCCTGGTTTTACCCCCACTGAGGCTGGAAGGATGTATGCACACCCCATGCAGCCGTGGCTCCTCACTGCAGACAGCTTCTGACATGCTTCATCTCACCTGGCAGGCCTCAGACGTCTAAAGCAGAAGAATTAAGATCTTAACAACTATCCCTTTTCCCTTCTTTCCCTGGAATGTTGCAGCCTGACTGCCTACTCCTTGGTATTGTTGCCAAAGGATCATCAGCAAGCTGGGTGCTGCTGATGTACAGATACACTGGGAGTTTTGTGTGTTAAGAGGCTTCCTCTTGGTACTGCTGCGAGAGGACGCTAAAACAAGCCACATCTAATTTAGACCACTGCTGTCTGCTACTCAGGATATAGAAACATGGGTTCATGCTGCTCTTGCTTACAGAGCCAAGCAACGCTAACCAGATACCTCCTATTAAATGTAAAGATGATTTTAGTTACCACCAGTATTTTTCAGTTGTCGTGGGCAATCCTACAAATAGGGAGCTCAGTGTTACTGTGCAAAGCTACCTGACACTTTATTTCATGCTTCACTACCTAAGGGCCCATTGTTTGTTCTTCATTACCACAGAGCTCACAGTTTTATCTTAATTAACTTGCTTTTAGATCTCTCCAGGTTATCTTCTTCTTTTGCTTATGTGCACAACAGAAATCACTTCCCCACAGAAAGGGCACAGCAGCAGAGGGAGGGAGGGCCTGTCCATCCTCCAGACCTGGCTGAAGGGCTGCACAGGAGTTGTGCCAGACACCAAGCTTCAGCTACTTTCAGCTCTAACAAGTGGGTGTCAGGGTGACTCTGGGGGCCACTGTGCAGAGGGGGAGCAAGCCCTGGGCTCTGCCACTCAGCTGCAGCAGCAGCCCCCTGGGATGCACCTTTACCCATGGCTGCTCTGCAGGCACCGACTTGTTTTACCTGGGACTCCTCCAGCCTGTGGGAGGTTTGCCAGAATTCAGCTATATTCTCTTTGGAAGGAGAAAAGCTCTTTTAAAAAATTTCATTTAAAGCAAAGTGCTAAGAGGCTTGAGACTAAGCAGACAGCTTAAAACTGAGAACAGTAAAGAGGTATGGTTATTTTTAAACATGGAGATTTGTCAATTCTGTCCTGTTGATAAGGATCTCCCCCTCTCCAACTCTGAATACTGCCGCTTCCTGTGAGACAACAGTCTCTACAATACAAATCACAGTAATGAAATCCAGATGAAAGCTGGTGTGTGCTGGTTTTGATTCATGTAACAGGATAACGGCAGCATGTTTGAACACACTGGCTCTAAGGCAGCTGCCTCATCTTGTCAGTGCCATGCTGGAGAGCTCAGCTAACTGCCCTTATTCTCAAGGAAAGGACTTGTACAAGTCTACTTTTTTGTCCCTTGATTTTTTTTTCCTTCGCAGCTGCTGCAGAAGCTGAACATTGAGCAACAGGATGCTGCTTGTCCAGCTGATACCTACAGAAATGCCCAGCAGAGAGGCAGGCAGAATATACTCCTAGAAAATATCTGTTGAGAAGTAGTTTAAAAGCAATGCTGGGTATTAGCATCTGTTGAGTGATCAAATCAGCTACCCTTCCAAATGGTTTCTGAGCAGGCACCTGAGTACCCCCTGTTGCTGGGGCACAGCACTCATGAGGCTACATAGGAATCTTGGTCCCCAGTCCTGAACCTGCTCAGGGTATCTCATGCACCCTACAAACAGCTTGCCACAGAGCAGCAACCCCCACTGCTGCCCCTGCCCACCAGTAAGGGAGTGGAAGAAAGCTCTGGGGTGGTCTAGCAACCCACAAGAACCAGCTGGGATCTGACAAAGGAGGGCTTGGACACAACATCATCCTTCTGTGCCTGCTCCCTGCTCAGCATTTACGCTTCTCTTCTGTTTTAGGCCACGTCACTGCACTTGAGCTGCCTGCACGGCCCACATGAAGCTGCCATGTGAAGGAAAACACATGACTGTCTGCCGAGGACAATTCTGGTATTGCCTGGGTCAGGGCTATGATAATACTGATGCTCCAAATTTCATGAAGGGTTTTCAAATATTTCCCTGAAAGGAGCACAGCTTTTCTCTATCCAAACATGCTTTCTTATACATAATATTACTCCCTACCAGGCAGACACTCTGTACTCCCAGAGCTGTCAGACACAAGAACAAGGCACTGGGAACTACTAAACTGTCTCTCTCATACTCTAATCTCCAGTGTTTTTAACTTCTGTCATCCAGAACTGCCTGTCTCGTTTCTCACAGCTTATTTGCACGGAACACATTTCAGTTCAGCATTCAGCAAAACTCCTTCGTGGGCTCTGTTACGTTCCCTGTATACAAATCTGTGTATGTATATTTTACTTTGGCAATGGAAGCTGCACAAGACAAATGAAAGCCCTGATATATGGCAGCTGACAGATGCCTGGACAGCGTGATAAACGCTTCGGCCCAAGTCTCTACTCTGCACACTTTTTTGCATGGTTGGCAGTTTTGAACTTGGGAGCTCAGCTCGCGTGCTATTCACAAGCGTTTTCAAGCAGCTGCTTTCTCATAGGAAAGCTGTATATATAGTTTCATAAATATGAGAGGAGAGAGAATGCCTGAAATGGTTGGAAAGACTGGCAGGATGAAATATTGTTGAAAATAAATCCTACTTTGGCACGCAACCAGTAAAAGATGATCTAGGCTTGGATGCCTCTATCTCTTAGCTTAAGAAGGATAAAATCAGAATAAAATAGGTGAATAAAATGAAAGATGTATGATAGGCTCTCTTCAGCTGTTGTTACTGTGTACCCCCGGTAAATCTACTTCACAGAGAGCAGACAGAAGACTGATACCTGAAACAGACATTTTGGTAGGTCACTGATAAGTTCTCAGCCACACAAGAAGAGGAAAGCAGTCAATAACTCTGCACTCTCTGACTACTTTAGTGCATCCCTTAGGTGACCTGCTACGTACCTATCAACTGCTAGTAACCTAATTCATATACTTATGGTTTATGATGCATATATATGGGAAATCCTAATAGAGAGGAGACTTTAAACTGTGAAGGGAAATGGGAGTTATTCCAAATTATAAATAAAATTCTGAAAAGGGAAAAGATAAGACTAAAATAAGATGTTTCTGTTGTTACAAAGTTATTAACATTCAACGACCTTAAACTGAAAGATTTTGAATTTCACAAGGCAAATAGTCTCCAAACTGCCTCTTTGTAGTTAAGTACATGGATGGAAACGAGTTTATTTTATATTGTTAACACTATGGAATTATTCTCAATATAGTTGTTTACTACAGTCAAATGCATAGAGCACAAGATTTATATATGATAATCTATCACTGCTATCCTCTGCTCCCTGAGACTTTTGGGTACAAGGTCAGTAGCTGATAAAAAAGCAGTCTGGAGATACTTAATATACAGCTACAGAAGTGGCTTGAAGAACAGGGTGACAGCACTGAAGGACACTGGCTGCAGTGGAGTCCGCCTGACCTTGGTGCTCCTTGTGAAAGACAGAACAGGGGAACGAGAGACCAAATGCATTATATCGTCATGCAGGGCTTTTGTTAGACCAAAGGGCTGGAGCAGCAAGCAGTTCTAATTTTAAAATCATACTGGAGGACTAATATTAGGTAACACAGCCCAGCTGTGCTCACCACTAACACAGTACCTGGCAAGTGCAAGCTGCCAGACAGGCACTGCAACAGCTCTGCAGACTTTTGTGACATGCTTCTTTCATTAGTGGTGTGGAAATGTCAATTTGCTTTTATATAATTAAACCAACACGCTGACATTGTAGTTCAGTACCCAAACCTAATTCCACGTGTATCCCTTGAGCACAGATATAGATGGATATTTCAGGGATGCGACTACAGAAGGGTCACTCAAAGTTAATGTGCTGCTGATCTGGGCTTTCCTTCTTCTGCTGCAAGTTTTGGCAGCACACAGTGACCAGCTAGCATGCTCCTGTGTTACCAACACAGCCTCAAGCCTGTTGAGAATGAGTTTTCTAGATCAGCACAGAAGGAGTTTCTGCTGGAAAGAATGCAGAGAGACCGGGGGGGCATTGATGAGTCTGTACATATGCTAGCCAACATGAGATTCGAGGAAAGAAATTAATGCTTAGTCTGGTAGATAAAGTTCCTGTTCTAGAGAGATTTAAGAATCTGCACAAATTCCTGTTTTAGCAGTATCAGCCAGGAAGACATCTGTTAACCATGACATGATGTTTCCCTTCCCCCCCACCCCCCAGCATGAATTTTTTCTATCTCTTACTGTTTATATTGCGGCAGAGATTGCAGACTCTCCTACAAAGACAACACAAAATGAAATAATTTCTCCAGGGCAGACTAGAGTTTGACTATAACTCATACAATTAATACAAGTCATAGAACTTGTATTGGGAAAGTATTAAAGAATACTTTCAGAATTGTCCCCTGACAGGCAATTTATGGGTATTACTTTTACAAATGCAACAGGGAAGTGTATGCTCTGTTAAGCCTAGGACTTCATGACAAAAAAAAAAAAACCCAAAAAAACCCAAACATAACAAAACAAAACAAAAAACCCAGACCAAACCAAAAGCACTTCTGCTTCCCCAGAGCCATCTGCAAGGAGGAAGCTCAGCTTCTCTTTGAAAACAGCTGAGGACCTGCAGCTAACACTTCTCTGCAAGAGCCAGGGCTAATTCAGCTCAGTAAAATTAAAAGACTATAAAGTCAACGTCAGTGATGATAAATTCAGGCTCCACAAAAATTGAGCACACAGAGTTGCATGCATTTCTGAGTAAACTCCAACCACACATTTTGTCTGTCTTATGCCTCGGGATAAAGCCTGCAGTGTTTACTGATGCAGTATTCACACAGATCTCAACAGAGCTTTCCCAGAGGAAAAATCCTGGCCTGCAAAGCACAAGCCAGGCTCATGGGAGTAATATCAGTGCATACAGCTCTATCCCGCAGGCAGTGACGCAGCCCAGCATCCACTCCTCTTCCACACCTTCCCCCCATTAACTGCTCTGACATCCATAAGGAGGGGTGAGGGGAATATCTACAAGCTTGCAGCTGTCAAGCATTAATGCTAAATCCTGGCCAAGTAACGAAACTTTGATTACAAGCTGCAGCTCTCCGCGCACAACAAAATGCTGGGCGCTGACATCAGAGCCGCTCTCAGCTGCTCCGGCACTTGCGAGAGGCAGCAATTACAGCCAGATTCCACCCAGCTCCCGGCCTCTGCAGGCACTTGGCAGAGGGCTGGCACTGCTGCAGTGGCTCTGCATGGTCAAGAAAAGACCACAGGTCTCTCTCTGGCCCCGTACTGCAATCTGCTTTAATTGCGGCGTGCACCGATTTTTATATCTGGGGGGGATAAATTACTTGGAATTATGAACCTATTAAGCTCTTGCTCACACTGATGTGAACTGCAGGGAGAGGGGGAGGGAATGCCAGTAGAGTCAGGAAAGCCTATAACAGATGTGAGTAAAGTCTCCTACATGGCAAATATGGCCTTATATTCGGCTCTATGAACAAGCCTTTGCCCAAACTGAAAAATCCTACTTAACCTGCAAGCTCCCAGGACACTCCAGCACTACTTTTTCTCCCTTCTCTTGGCTGAAAGAAGCACCAGCACGTTATAAAATCTTTCAGCTGAGCACTGAAGAACAGCCATCTACCCTTCAGTTTCTTGCAAGGCTGTGCAGCTGCTGCATGGCATCACAGCTATGCTGCTTCGGCTGTGGGCAGGCAAAGACAGAGCCCTTGGCACCCGCCTGGGATCCCCCTCAACAAAAGAAACAGAGCACTTAGTGTCCTTCAAACCCTTCTTAGATTAGTGTCTGCCTTCAGAAAGGGAGATGGGAGTCCCACAGACCCTCAGGCAGTGCTGAAGAAGTGATGTCTGGAAGGCAAATTCAGGAAAAAAACCCTCAGCTGTCAAGTAAGACATTATTTCAGACACAGCAGCAATTAATCCCTAGGGAAAATTAAAAATCAGGGAGATCCCTGTCAATGCAAATATATTCTAGACAAACAATGACAATGATTTAAATAACTGTCCTTGAAGTCCATTTTTCACTTTTAGGGCATCTAGTCATACCCCTTTTCAAATCCCCAGGCAGCTCCTTTTTACAACAGAAGTACAAATATAAGACTTTGAAATGCTTTGGTCAACCAACATACAGAGAAAAGTGGCACTGAATACCCTCTCCTGGATGGAGAACTTCCTTGCAGGATGACATCCTGGCTCCCCCATTTTGACTCACTTAACTATGTCCATGAGAACATCAAGTTAAAAAGGGATCAAAGATCTCAGGTGATTTTAGGGGACCTGGCAGACACTCACAGCCTGAGGAAGGTCAGAAACACAGCCATGACTGCTAGAGCTATGTTCCCTTTGGATGTTGGCTAACAATGTCTTCCTCCTTGAGGGAAGACAGTTCCCTGACCATGACAGTAACCATATCAAAACCTGACAAATATTTTCCCACACAGATGCAGCTGCTATAAAAGCTACAGAAATGCCAAAAAATAGCTCGCCAACCCTTAAAGGAAAACCGGCAGCAAGTAAGCAGAGGACATTCTTGACTTCCCATTTGAAAATCTAGAATAAACACAGCTTCAGAACTCAATTAAGCCTCTGTGTGCAACAGACAGAACATTCCTGCTAGCAAGGAGATAATCTTCAATCCCCATGAAACACTTAGAGCTTATTTTGAAGAAGGAGCACCTAATAAAGAAGGAGAGCCAAATTTCCCCTGGGATGGGGGGCAGATGAGAACATACAAAGGCTGTACCTTTACATACATTAGCAGTTTCTTAAATAGTGTCTTCTGTTCCAAATTAAACAAGAACATGGACAACATTTTAGACCTCAATGTTTCAAATCCTATCATATCTGTATAAAGATAAGAGTAGTAGGTCACCACTTTGGGGGAGAAAAAATAAATCTTTATCCTACTGCCTATTATTACTCTGGATGTATAACCCAGACAGATACAGGCTCACATGTGTGTGACTGCACTGCATCTTGCAACAGTCCACCCATATTAATCTACAGACTTGGAGCAATCAAAAAAAAAAAAACAAAAGGCTACAGAAGTCTCTCACCACAGAAAACATTTAGTCAGAGCACAGACCATGGAACAGTTATGTGTCTGTATTGTTAAGAGTTTGGATGTAGTGAGAAATATACAGGCTCTGCACACAATTGCTGCAATTAAAGGAAGGACTATCCCATGGTGAAATAAATACCTGGGAAACCAAGCTGTTCAGAGAAGTGAATGATTAGCATCAAAACACAGAGTAACTTCATGACTTCAGAAAAACCCCAATGGGCATCTTCCTATTTTGTAATAGGTGCCAGTTTGAGGAAGTATAAATTTTCCTCTGAATGCCAGAGAATGAGTGCATTGTTTGAACAAGCCTTTCATCTAAAGCATTTATGAAATACAGCAGTAATAAAAGTGTTTGCTTTTGTAATACCTCCACAAGTTTGTTTTAACATGTCTTGAGAAGTAACTGTCATTTAGAACAAAGCATTCCGAACAGCTCTTATTAGTAGATTAAAAATAATAACAGTCTTCTTAAAATACTGCCAAAGGAAGCCTCCACCTTCAGGATTTTGTTACTGGAATTTCTCTGTCCTACACAGAATCACTTACCATATAGGAAGGAAATATTAAAACCCGCTTATGTTTGCCACATGGCCACTGGGGATCATCTAAAAGATTTGGGTCGTATTCAACAAAGTCTCCCAGGTCGCTACCTATAAAACAACAATTTAGATATAGAATTCTGAGAGGAATTCATTACACCAAGAAATCTCTGGACTTAACAGAAGTGGCAAATGAATTCACAGATAATGCACAATATTATCTCCATTCAAGATTTTTTAAAGAGATGAAAAATTGCTCTAAGTCTTGACAACTCTAAGTATTTCTGTACTAACATGATTTGCCAAGATACAGAGGACCTAGAGGTTACAAATTACCCGGTAAATGTGAATTTAGGGGTTAGAGAACTGCAGAATTACATCAAGCTCCACAGTGACTTTTATTCCTGGCAGCAAGTTTTCATCTGTTCAAGCAGATGTTTTGATTTGTTTCATTTATCATACCAAAGTATTTTAAGCATATAGTGCTTTGGCTTATGTTTTGTGTCCGGTTTTGTAAACACAGCCCTTTCCAGCCTAACAAAGGTCACAAGCGGAATTTACACCTTCAGCTTATGACTACTGTGTTGCCACTGTAAATTTTCCATAGCAAAGGAAGGTAAGGACGAGCCTGGTGCAGGAGGGACAAACAATGCTGCTGGCAGGAGGAGGCATGCTGGGTGCCATCGGGGCTGTCGATACGACCAGCGTGCTTGTTTATGTAATTTCCATCCTCCACAGACAAGCTTTCTAAGCAAATATGGAATAAGCTGTGCTGCACCCGAAACAGAAGACTGTATCTTATTTAGCTTAAGCTCATGAAGGGACTAAAACACATGTCAGTCCTTTGCAATAACTGCCTACCATCAGGGTACCCAAGGATGTTAAAATGAGCTACTTGAGAAGTTACCTGCATCAATGCTCCCCTGGGTGCTGTTAGCTCTTCCCAAAGAAAGGCTACGATGGCTTGCATTGCGAAACTGGGAGAAAGATGAGGTGGAGTCTATCGTGTTCCTCCGAGTTCCCAGAGCATTGGTGGGAAATAGGAACTGTGTATAAGAAACCGTCTAAAAAAAAAAAAAAAAAGTCAGAATGGACAGACAGTTACTTTCAGCCCAGCTTAGATGCAGTGGGATGCCTTTGGTGCATTCCAACTGGAAGCAAGAGAAGCCAAATTAGTGGAGGATTTTCTGGATTCAGTAGTCAGGCACAGATGAATAAAAACCAGTCACCTACATTTGCTTCAGTGCAGTCAGTTTATCCATGCAAAAAATGCTTTTGCAAAGGCATTAATTCTTCAGCAAAACACACACACACACAAGCTCTAATACACTGGATTTACAAAATCCTGCTCAAGGGTCAGATTTAAAAACATATCAGTTTGGTCAGGTTTTTTCCGGTGGGCCTTCTCTGTAGCACATTTCAGCAGCTTCTTTACTGAACTAACATCACCCATATGGGTCCCTCAGCACACAGCTGCCAGAGGCAAATCACTTAAATGTTGCTAAACTGAAGCACCTTCTCCTCTATTTTTCTTTCTCAGGACTTTGTCTGGCAGAGTCTTATTGATGTAATAAGTGAGCTCCAGTTCACAGCAATGGTTGTGGGAGATCATTTACTAGCCCCCCCAACATGGACTAAGTGTGAATGAGTAACTTGTGACAAAATTATTTTTAGAGTGCACTGATTCTCTGTCTGTACCCCTGGCCAAGAAAAAGCTATGCCTTGCTTCTCGTTGGCTCATTTTCCAACAATAACATTGCATTGAAGAAAAACAAAATGAGTTTGAGACTCTAGACTGGTTTATGAGGAGGTCAGAACAGGTATCAAATAAAACATGTGAGCTTTCATTATTTATAAGCAGACAGATTGTCCTCAAGAATTTACAGCCTGTGGTCTGGCCTGACACCTGGTTAGGTGAGCACAACATGTGTAGCAGCATTGACCCAGGGCCTTTAAATCCATATATGACAGCAGACTGAGTAAAACTGAACTGTGGAAAGTAAATCAGGCTTTCAGGAAGAAATATTTTCTTCTATGATTAAAACCATTTCTCCTCAACATTTTTCTTTAAAATTGATCACTTCCCTAAAGATTCATATTTGCTTATTCTATTCAAATGAATGAGGTCCTGGATTTTGAAAGACTCAACAAATTTGTGCCACTGTCTTTCTGCTCTCTGGAAAAATATTAAGCAAAATGTTACTAAATACAACTGAAAGCAAACAGAATTACAGCTACAACTCTCACCAGAAATTATTCTCAAGCTCCTGACAATATACCCTGCAGTGATAACTCCTGCTAGAGCCAGGGGAAGGCTGTGTAATTCAGTAATGCTTTACACACTCAGATATTGCCAGAGGCAAATTTCTTCAAGGATACAGAGTTGTCTGTGTTGACAGCTTGGACAGTCCTCATGAATTTCTGCTAAGCTTATTTACAGTTGCACATACTGTGCTTTAACTACTGCGTTACACTACATGTTATATTTGCGCTTGTTATTAGTTAAGCCAGTTTTCTCCCTTATAACATAAAATCTGAGGGAGTAAGAACTGAAGCATCCCCACCTTCCCATCTGCTCCGAGCTCCACACCTTCAAGACCAATTATCTCTTTCAGGCACACTCCAGTAGAATGGCACTGGCGTCCACCATCCAGCTTCATATCCCTGGGAAGCAGAAAGAAGAGCAGAAGCAGCCCTTAATACATGTGCCTTGTTCACCTCCCACCACCAAATGCTGAAATTAGGTGCAACATGAATCCAGACATGCCAATGCAAAGCACAGACCAGACAACTTTTCCTATGGGAAGCACTTGTGTTGTCTAAAACACTTTATAGAGAAAACACCCCAGTTTGCTCACGGCTGCAGCTCACACCCCAGCCCACAGTGCAGAGCAAGGTTCCCCATCTCTGGGTACCTCTGACAGAAGCTGGCACTGGGGAGGAACTGGAAGTCATATACACTTCAGGTGAGATACAACAATCCAGCCTGAACACTTGACTGCCATGCATCCAGCAGACAGATGTTCCCAGACCACACACACATGTTCCTCTATGTGAAACAGAGATAAATTCCTGTGCAAGATTCCAGGAAGGATTCACAGGAGAGTGGCCAAAGCCCAGTGACCCTTCAGCTGGAGGCAGACAGGAGAAAGCCAGTTTTCCATGACCCTAGCACGGAAACTTGGGGATCTACTTTAGAAGGACTGACCCACCCGGCATCTTCCATTTGGAGATAAATGAGATGCCTGAGACAAGCAGGCTGTATCTCATGCTTTAGCCTCATGATCAAAATGTGAGCAGAGGTAAAAAAGAGTAGGAGCAAATCCGTGCCTCACAAATGACAGCTGTATAAACTCCATAATATTTATCCTGCAATATTTTCCTGGCTGATTGCTGCTGGGATCCAAGTGTGCGCTCAAAACTCTGTGTGGGACAGATGCTGATGGAGGCCAGGAGAAGCCCTGCAGGCTCTGCACCCAGTCACAGCCTGCTGGGACATACAATACACCCTCTTTCCTTTTCTTTCCTCTCCAGCCTATCATACATTTTATTTCTCAGGCTATCCTGAGTCACCAGTAAGTTATGTACCTCACTGCTGGAAAAATCCAACACATCTATCTTCTGGAAAACATACTTCAGTGACAAAGGAAAAGACTGTATCGAGTTTCTAATCCCAACAAAGTCCTCTTAGTTTCTTGATTGGAGTTCACTTAGCACAGTGTCATATTATCATTCTTGTTTCCTGGTATCATGTTACTGAGGGTTGGACTAATAATTTTGTAAAAATAACTCTCAGTCAGAAGCATGGTATTAGCCTCTCTGCTCCTGCACAGAAAGTGCTTAAGGGAACTACTTCTCAGAGAGATAAATGCCAAATTGTAACTATTTCAGCAGGTCTTATCTATGAAACAAACACACAGCCTGAGGAAGCCCCTGAACCCCAAAATGAAAACAAATATCTAACTACCTGAAATCAGAACAGTGTACCTTCTTTCCATTCAAGACCTTACAGGCACAGAGCAAGAAATAATGCTGTTACAACTCTGAAAACACATCATGGAGAAATTTTTCCATGTAATTAACAGACATGGATAGATAACTCTGCCACTCATCAAATGGAAATCCATCACCCTTTGAAGAGTCAGCACAGCAGCTTTAAAAAATAAAAGGCAGCTCTGACGACTGGAAAGAAGTCAGTGCTTTGAAGCAGGGAGCAGGGTCAGCTGGCAAGTGTGAGCACACACAGGAATGATTCCTGGACATCAGCTGAAGATCGACAGACACTAATGCCTCCATTTCCACATCTTTCTGGTATTTCTGAAGAGGATTCTCCTTTCAAGACCCTGTGAACAACACTGCAGTAATTCTGCTTGTTTTGCAAATCTGCTTGGAGTGTTTCCCTTCTCCACATATGCTCTTTGTTTCTAGAAAATATATGACTGCTTGTGTTGTAAAATGGAGTAATAAAGTGTTACTGTTTGGAGAGAAATCTGCCCATAAAACAGAGAATTAAATGCTCTCTCTTGAGGAAAATCAGTACTAAACAATGTGCAGTTTCTTATGAGCATATAAATGGAAAGGCTCATCCTGGCTTATACACATCCTCCTCTCTCTTGTGAAAGATCTTGGTTAACACCTCATAAGGAATTCCTAAGAAACTTGACTGTATCCTTTTTGAGCTCCCTATCAGTGTGATCAAGAGCAAGCTGAAACAGCAAAAAATAAAATTTTTTGCACTACAAACCTTTATTTTTTTTCTCTCACTCCTACTAAAGATGAAGAGCTCAATAAGGTCTTGGCAAAGCTCTTGCTGGGAGAGCAAGCCCAAAGGCTGCCAGCCCACTGCTGGGGGGAGCCCCACACAGCACAGCTGCTTCCTCCACACAGCCCCAACACCCCAAGAACAACTAGGAAAGGTCTGGGGGATGCTTTCCCTTAGACCTCTCCAAATGGGTGAGTTGTGCCTGGGGAAGGGTCAGGACGGCTGTTTGGGTACAGCCACTGCCCCAGTGTGGCCATCCACTGGCACCAGGTTCTTTAGGACACATCCTTACATGGCACCAGGGTCAAGGGGTCCCACAAAGCAGGAGCATATGGAGGACAGGTACTTCATAGAAAAAACAAACCAAGCTTTCACTGTGTTTAAGTTATTTAAATTACCAATTGGACTGAGGAACTGCACAAACCACTATCCAGTAGTAAATGGTGCTTAGAAAATGCAGAGAAGGAACAACAGTCCTGGCCAAAGAGGCATGTAAGTAAAGAAAGCTTCCTTCCTCCTCATCCTCAGTTTTGATTTTCCTGCTTTATTTCCAAAAGTGCTTTTTAAGAAACTTCAAGGAATTCAAGCAGACACTCAAAACCAAAAATAAACCATAGGAACTTATTTTACCACCTTCACTTCATTTGAGCAGGGAAAGCTTGAGAAAGTGAGAAGATCAGGGATAACATTTCCTTAGGAGGCAAAAAACTAGATCTCAGTTTCTGACAAAGTTTGGGGAATTACCCTGATTTACATCAATGTCAAGCTCTAGATATTCTATTCATGGATATAATTTCTGGAAGACTGAGCTGCGTTAGAAACTACCCACAGAACTGAATATATTGTCTCAGTTATCCATGACTGCAGAATGTTGAGGAATACATGGGTACAAGTAGCCAGGCTCACAAGCTGCAGACTGAGATGCAGATGGGAGTGCAGAGCTCTGGGCAGGAGCCTGAGAAGAGAGGCCATGAGCTGCCAGCCTTTGGGGTAACACAGGGCATGATGGTGGGTGACACCAGCCAGGTGAATGAACACTGGGAAACACTGAGAGATCCAGGAATTGTGGCCTTTTGGATAACAAAGGAGATGAAAACCAGTGAGCCAGCAAGGTGGATGGACATAGGGAGGGGGCAGGAGCCAAAGACTTGGGAGGAAGAGGAGATTTCTGGAGACTGTGAGGGTATAAAAGCCATGGGGTTCCTTGGCTGGGGATCCTCCTCAAGGCACCAGCTTGGGCTGTTTCTGTGGAACTGCACCATGAATAAATGGCTTTATGGAACAGAGATCTGAGACTTTGCCATGGGAAACCTGGGGTCGAACCAGAGAGGAAATCTGATCTGACTGTGTGAGTGGGATGTGTGAGGAGTCAAGTGAGGACCTGTTGGGTTACTGGAGCCACCCACCAGGAAGTGGCTTCAAACTCAGCAGTGAAAGTCTCTGGCATTGGAATGTGACCAGCAGTCTCTTGAGCAGTCAGACTGGGTAGTTTCCTTAGCAAGAAAAAAAGAGAAAATTTCTCCATCTAACAGAGTTCACAGATTTTCTTGGAACCATACCAGGTGACATGGGATCCCAGATTTGTTGTCAGATGGTGAAAAGTTTTACTGAGCAGATAGATAAGGATCAAAACAAGCAATCTCATCATGTCTTTTATTAGCCAGGCCAGGATTAACAGAGTATAAACTGGATGCTGTTACCTTTGGAAGTATAACACTTCTTTAACGAACCAAATGTTATGCTTTGACGTATCTACAAAGTCCCATGCAACACTCCTGCTGGGCACTTGCTCTTTAAATGACAGTAACAGTTGAGCACTCTAACCTGTGAATAATTTAGGAGTCCATGAAATATTAAACAGACTTCTAGATGCATGAAAAAGCCTTCTGCTTATTGCAAAAAGGAATCTGATAATTGTTGTTTAGAGATGTCAGCCTGTGCCTGAATTTTATGCTTAGCTATTCCCCCCCACTGCTAAGATTTATTCTAAAAGCAAAGGAGGTTCATGAGACATCAAGAAAAGATGCCATTCTCATCTGTCAGTGTAAATAATTTCTACTTATCATCTCTGTTTATTAAGACAAGGACAGTGACAGCTCTGGAAAAGATGCACTGCCAGTCAGACCAGCAGCAGATCTCCCGCTGCCTGAGACTGCGTGCTGTAATTGATCAAGAGCTTTCAGATCCTAATGCCATTAGTGTTGCCAGAACAACTTCAGCTGCAATTCACAGGGAGAAGGAGCGAAAAAAACTCCTGGAAAGATGTCTCTAATGGGCCAGCCTTCTTTTTCTCTCTCCAAAGATGTTTAGCTGTCAGCATGCCAACTCTTTTCCTGATGTTCTGCCCAACACAGAGTAAAAGTTCAAAATTTAAACTTACTAGCTTTTGGAGATTTATTGGTCAATTTCAATCTAAGAGAACAGATCAGCTCACAAGAATGAGCAATGCTGGCTCTGTAAAATTCTTATATGAGATGATCAGTTTTGAAATGTCCTTTTGTGAGAAAAAAAGCTTCAGATTTATGTGTCTTTCTGTAAAGCTAATATGCACTTGGTTTCATTTTTTGTTCAATTTCTGAGAAGCAGGGAAAATGGGCAATGGTAAAGAAATGCAGGGATATTTCAGTTTCCCTGTCACAGGCTAAAAACAGATAGTTGTTCTTCCCCAGGCTTACAGAATGATAAATGCTCAGGAAAAGCATTGAAGATTGATGACTTAATCAAAACTGCCTTGCATACAAAATCTGTTGGGGAAGAACAGCATGGAACTTGGTAACAAATCTGAAGGATGTAACAGAGTATCCTGCTTTGCTGTCTGCTTATTGCTACTATCCATATGGCAATTTAGATGCTCTCATTTCTCCTGTAAATATTGCCCTCTTTTCCACACTCACTAACCTGCCAAATAACTGATGGCAGCAAGACAACCACACGAGTCCTTCTTTTTGCCTCATTTTGCATTTGACTTTCTTACTCAGTTTAAACACTAAATATGAACAAAGATTGCAGAGCTTAGGTAAAGAAGGCTGTTGGGAATGCCAAGTCTGTGGACTAATTGATCATTTTGGTTAGAAATTATTTGGGGTGATGGCATTGAAAACCTCTTGCTCTTGGCATCACTTGGCATCAATATTATTGCTCTGGGCAGCATTTAGTTAAATTCAAAGCTAAATTCAGCAGCGACTTATCTTTAGAAACTGGATGAAGCGGGTTAGTAGCATTTCTGAGAAGGACACAAATTCTTTTTATCTAGTGACTTGCTGCTTTACTTCAGAAGAACGGTCTGTTTCCTGGGCTTGAATCCATTTGATTACTCATACTGCATTATTTCCTTTAACTGGAGGCAAGTTCCATCAGATGAATACCTGTATTTTTGTCAAGACAGCAATATTCAGCAGCTATTCCTGCTGCAGGTAACCACTTAATGAATTCAATGCCACAAAGAATAAAAGATAAGGTGAATTTGCCATCTGTATAAGGATGTGCATTATCTGATGCTCTGAGTTTTCTGTCCTGTAGCTCATCACCTCCAGCCCTGCTGTCAGTCAGTCACTGCAAGCCCAGGTCTGAGTGCTCCATGTAAGACTAACCAGGCTGCAGTGCTGCATTTGTGGTTTTCTGCCAGCTCTCCTTCTCCCCCAGGTCCGCCAGATTCATCTTCTGGACAGGACTTCACAGAACTAAGCTCTTAAAAGAGTTCTTACAACATCACAAAAAAATATCATCAGAATAGGTATGATTTCAATCTGTGGATGCTATTGCCATTGATAAAATCAAGCTTAAAAAGCACCTTCTCCAAAACATGTTTTTAAATCATGAAGCACAATGCTGTGTGCCAAAGATAAAAAACAAACCACACATCAGAACAGTAAACCCAACTAACTGCAAAACCTTTTATTCTTGGGGTGAAAAACAACATGGCACCTTCTTCCTCCTTTATAACATTTCTAACAGTGACAAACACTGCCATTGTCCTTTTTTTGAAATTGCTTAGGCTGTACTAATGAGGACTGGGTTGCTCTCACTTGGCTGCAAGCATATGCAGCCATTTTTGCAGGCTACCATGTCCTCCTGGCCACATGGAGCAACTACAACAACATCTGTGAGCACCACCAGAGTTGTACCATCTCCTTGGAAGCTGATGGAGAAGCAGTGCCTGGAGAAGCTTCATGAACAGGCAAGCAATGGAGAATAGGCTCCCTTCTCCCCTGGCCAGGATATCTGCTTTTTCCAGGATAACCAGAGTTGAACCTGGTTCTTCTTCATCCTGGCTTGGGCCCACAGAGCACCCTTGCACACACCACACTGGGGAGTGGGGTGGTCAGAAACCTTCAGGAACGTTCCAAGAGAGTCTGGCTGTAACAGCTCCTCTTTAGGGACTCGAGTGTCCAGAGCATGACCTGCCTAATGGCTAAAAGGATAATATCTGCTGTGTCTGATCCCTGTCTCCGGTCTCAAAGGGCTGAAATCCAATTCACCTCAAACCATCTGGAGCCCATCTCCAAACGAATAATTCCTTCAAGTCTTATTTAATCCATCTGCAAATGGCTTCACTCTTTGGTTTGCCATGACACAAATCCCCTCTGAGGGCCCAGAGCAGGTCAGCATGTGGGTGTACATGCCTGTGCTGAGGGTGTGTGAGGTAGGACAGCTACCTGCTGCTGACCTGAGGCATCTTCCCCTGCCCTGGAAGTGGAACAGTATCGAGGCTCAACTCTGTTTGCTGTGAGCTTCCACAGTGACAACCAGCCTCTGACAGAGGAGGTGTGTGTCACAGCAGCTCAGGGGATGAATAAGGTGCACCTCTGATAAAAATGGGAAGTCAACACCTGCAATTTTCTGCCCATCTACAGAACTAGATGGGGATTAATGCTTATCTGTGGCAAGGAAGGTATGAAGTGGATACTGAGGCAATTTCAACACTGTTCACAAAGTAGATATTAGAGAAGAAAGAGGAACCCTTTATCCATTAACGTTTTCAGTGCATTGAAAAATGAGAGGCAACTGCATAACCCAAACCTGCAGTACTAGCACTTGCCTCTAACCTGTGCATCGCACAATGACTTTGTCATAAAGCCAAACATTTGGACAATCTTCCTCTGTGTCTGTTAAATTAAGAACAGAGGCAATAAGGCTGCTACAAGTGTTTTCACATCACTGCATCCCTCCCCTTAGCTACCACTACACCCTGCCTAGGGTCTGATGACTTTGGGCTGTAACATCAAGAGATACTGTGGGGCAAGCAATGCCAGCAGGCAAGATGCTCAGCACCTCCTTCAGCTCCTGACTTGCAGTGAAGCTTTCCTCACACTGTCTTCACCTGGCTAGATCTGCTCTCACTTGCTCTGCTGGTCTAGACAGAGGAAGAAAAGTAAGCATTTAGGAAACTTATTCCAGGGGCACCTCAAACTTCATCCCCTCATGTAGATCTAGAGCTCTCTTCCCAGACCTCCATTTGTATTGGCACAACCACTTAAAAACACAGGTTTGGAGGTTTTTGGGGAGGGTTCTTGCTGTTGTAGTTTGATCTCTGGATGGAGGGCAGGCAAGTGAGGGCCACAGTCTAGAGTACACTTCTCTCACCTCACTGGTGAGGGGTGATGCTGCCCCATCCACACAGGACAGGTACAGGTACATGGAGTGACTTCAGAAAGTGCCTTTTGCCATGTTTTTATAATGGATCTGTTCCTGCACACTGTATCTACCATCCTTGGTAGAGTACAGCTCTTCTGCACTGCCTCGAGTACAACACTGGCTGGCAGCCTCCACAAAACAGCTGTGCCTGGAGGTTCACTGGCCACAGTGCCTGTGAGCTGGAGCAGAGGTGGAGAAGCAGCAGCAGCTGCACTATGTGCTTGCTCCTCTTACACAGAACAGTTCCTCCTGCCTGCTCATCCATCCTACTCTCCCACTCCTGTCAGGGCTTTCTCCAGTTCAAATTTCAGATGTGTTCATGGCTCCCAGCAATGACCTGTTTCTTTCCATTTACTGTTCAGTGATATTTGCAGAACACAAACCAGCTGGGACATCTTACCTGGGGACAGACATCCAGGGATTCAGAGAAAGCAAAGCTAAAGGATGCTGTCATTACAGTACTTCATAAGAGAATATCCAGTGTCTCTCCCCCCTCCAACTTCACATCCAAAATGTGCAAGTAAGCAAGCACTGAGAAGCCTGAACAGAGTGGCTATAGTTTATGCTATACTGCCTCATCTGTTCTTTGCACCAGCTGTTCCTGGAAGGAGGTGCCACTGAATTGTTTCTCTCTTCCTCTGATGCTCTGGAAGAAAGACAGAGGGCATTTTTTTTAAATCTTGGCTTTTTAGCCAAGGGAACAGGGTTGGATTGTTTTGTACTGGCACTTGCTACCTTCTCATCCCATGCCCTTCTTGCTGTGCAAGCACAGTACAAGACATGACATGCTGAAATAATATTTAGTTTTGCAGCTGGGCTCATTACTGCTGTAATTTAGAAGGTATAACCAGTCATCAGAATTTCAAAATATGTTCAATTTTCAATAAAGAGCCATTTTCCACAGGATGATGACCATAAAAGAATGTACTCAGTGTACTCAAGAACAAAGAAAAAATGTGCCAGTCTGTCAAGAATTTGCCTGATGTGTCATCACAGCTTAATTAAAGGAAAAAATTTACTGTAAGAGAGAGCAGACAGAGTCAATCCTCTGACAAAGGTGCTTCCTTTCCTTTGCACATTAAAAATAATCTCCCTTTGTTTTGAATTACTGGTGCACAAGGAGATTGTGACAAATCATTCTCCAGAACTAAACTGATGGCTGGAAAGTACAAGCCAAATTTGTCTTTTATACATTGGATAGATTTGACTGTAGATGATTTGGGGATCTTTCAAACCCCCCTCAGTGTATTAAATCACTATTTCCCATGCATTTTGTGCTCTGCAGTCCCTGAGTCAACCACAAGGACTTCTCAGGTCTCTGACAAGTGGTCATGGTTTCCCCCCCGTCCCAGGGTCACAGAGCTGCTGCCCACCAGCACTGCTGATCCCAGCCTTGCACTGCACCTCTAAAGGCCCATCAGAGCCTGGCAGGCCACATCTTCCAGCCAAATCCAGTTTCTTCCACTTCTGTGGTTTCAGTGGAAGAGCTAAGTGTTTTCTCAGTCTTTGGAGAACTACTTTGTTCCAAAGTAACTTTTCTATCAGAGTTACAGCGTCTCAGCATGTCAGGGGATGTGAGGCAGCTGCATGGACAGCTGTGAACCTGTATAATATCATGGCCAAAATAATGTTTTCACTGACTGAATGATCTGACCAGTGACTAAAAGTATTAAATAAAAAGGTATTCTGCTAAAATCCAAGTATTTCTTTATAATTCTAGAAATCTAGATACATCATGATATATCATGATTGCATGGAAGAAAGAGAAAGACAAGATGGCTTACACAATCAAAGTCGTGCTGTCTAGAGTAATTGTTTTGTCAAAGATGAGTGAAGCCAGAAGAAACAATAAAAAAGTGTATTTTTTCAAGAACATTGATTTCATGGGGGTAGTTTTCTCCAGCTTAATAATCATAGATACCACAACACATATAAATAAAGTGGGGAACTGAGAGCTGTAGTTTTAACCTGGTAATGGTCCACAAAGCAAATACACCTAGGAGCATTTATCTCTTCTCAGAGCAGACATGTAAAAGCATTATCCTCCATCATGCTGTTGTCTGTTATCAGGTCTACATGCAGGCCCAGAAAGACTATGCAGTACATGTATAAATATACATACCCGACTTGGGTACAGTCTCGATATGGCAGCACTGAAAATATGCTACAGAAGGATCTTCTGCTGCTGATAAGGACTATTCTAAAATATAAAAGAAAATAAAAGAAATCAAAGACTAAAATTTAAAAATCCCACCACAATAAGCAAAGCAATAGATGTTACCATTGAGGAATTTGCAATCATAAAACTTGCATAATGGACGATTTCTCTGTCCTCTTTTACATCTCACAGATATTGTGCTCAGTCTTTACAGAAGTGCTGAAGCCTGTGCTGCAGGGAATGAGCAGTGAATGAGTAGCAGAGCCCCCTCTACAGGCTTTCTAGGAAGACTGTCTTGAATATGTGACTTGGAATCCAGGACAGATGCTTTCCTAGTGAAAGAAGTCCACCCACAGAGGCACGGGACCATTCTGTCGACTCACTACAATGGCTGAAACTCAACAGACAAACCCAGCAGCAACCCTGGTGATACACACCAGCAATTACCATTGATACACGCTCTGGCTGCTGGTTGTGACCTTCCTCTGCTAAATCGAAGGACTCCCTTGGTTATCAGCTTCTTGTTCCTGAAACAGACTTCATCCATCCATCAGGCTAGGTTTGCCTAAGTTTTCCGATCCTTTCACTGTTTGCAAGCTTCTTCCTTGAGTCTTCTCCAGTTTTGCCCCATCACCTTTCTTGGTCTCCAGGCATTATCCCTGACCTCAGAAGCTGCACATCTTCCAGTCTTACCTTTAGGATCAGTGTCCAGCCATGACACTCTGCCAGCCTCTGGGCTCAATAATCACACTAGCCCTCTTGGTTATGATATTCCATTGACACTCAGTCGTAACTGATCCACAACTCCCTGCCACATCTGTCTCAGTCACTGTCAGGGCTGAATCCCTCCTCCTCTAAGCATGGCTTGCCTTTGCTCCTCATAGGCAGTTAGCCAAGATTTGGCTGCATGAAATCATACATCATCTGCCTGCAGAGAGCTTATCTCAGAATCCAGGACACTCTCAGAGCAAATGCCTTGTATTTCTAACCAGTCTCCAAATCTCTGCAACATCTGCAAAGTCACTGTGTGATACTGTCCTGGTTTCAGCTCAGATAGAGCTCATTTCCTTTAAATCAAATAACTTGGAGCCACCTCTGTCTGTTACACAGCCACACTGTTGCCTTCAGCCATCAGACTATGACATATCAAGCAACATCAAAACCACCTTGAAGTCAAGACCCGCTTCCCATAAAACAGAGTGGAATGCCAGTAGCTACATTAAGAAAGATTTGGGAGATGCAGACTTGCAAGAAGCCAAGAGAAGCTTGGTCAAGAAGTAAGATATAAAATGCCAGTAAGTAACTGCTTACAAATATACCCTTTTTCTTTATTGCCTTCAAGACACCAAGAATTGTACCATTGTAGAACTCACCCTTCTTCCCTCTAAAGTTGGCTGACAGGCTGCACCATGCTGAACTCCTCAAAGACACAGTGACAGCAATTTGTGATGTTTTCTGACCTGATTAGTGTTAGAATTTACTGACATTTTACCTTTCTAAAAATCTCCACTTGTGGTGAAAATGCTAGGACCTACCACTACGTTGGCTGTCAGGTCTACTGTACTTCCTTGCTCTGCTCTCCAACACTGATTTTTCTGACATTGTGTCCCACAGATCTGTGTGTGAGGATTTAACCTGAATTTTTCATCCTTCGTCCTGCACTGGTCAAAGCTGGACAACAAACCCTAGCAAACTCTTTTTGTTCTTTGAAAACCAGCACACACACCTATGAATCTCATCACAGTTATGCTGTTATTAGAACACTGTTTCCTTAAGGGACCAGCTTAGTCATCATTCTTGGAAAAGGTTTAGCTCCCCAAGAGAGCTGCTGCACATAATCCTTGGAAAAATGCAGAATGATCGATTTTCCTTCTCCTGGATTACTCCGTTATAGTAATCCTATTTCCTTCCTTAAAAGCCCGTTTGAAAGCAAAGAGGGATTTACCCTTTAATGAAGAAGGGCTTCTAATAGTAAACACACATACAGCTTTAGGAAGTTCTCTTGCAGCAGATGAAGTACAATTTCATTGTTGTCTGAATGCTGTAACATTCCTTACCTAAGGGAAATGTCTCAGATCCTACAAGATTGTCTCATGGTGCAGCAGTGAGTTACAGAGCAGGGAGGAATAATTCTTCCCATTTGAGAACAGCAATCCACAAGCAAAAAAACCCTGGCATATGATTAATTTTGTGCTTGCCACTGCTTACTGCTGAATGGTTGCTACTCACAACAGCTTGCTTGTTCACTGGAAGCCTTGTTTGCTGATGTATGAAACTTGGCACAGGTTTTGAGGCTGACATCAGAAAGCATCTTTGAATTCGGAAAACCACAGTACCCACTAAGCATATTATCCCCCTCCCTCTGGCTGCTTCTGGAAATACAGCTCTTCCACCAACGCCCTACACCTCCCTAAAAATACCTCTCAATACTTAAAAGAAAAACAAACTGGTGCTTCCATGTCCACAAGCAAAGACAACAGTAGGAAGTCACCACAGAACTGTGTGTATCAGGAGGAATCAGACAAGAAAGGAAATAAAAAGCACCAGCCCAGCCTCTATTTTTTTTCCGATTTCTTTCCCTTGGGACCCAAGTACTGCGTCTCTTTCCATGAACCAGCAGACCCTCTTTACACAAAGATCTCCCAGGCAGAGCAGGAGAGAAGCCCACAGCCTCCACTGCCAGGACGCCACAAAACCTCATCTGCAAAGCTGCTGAGTGAGAGTGATGCAAAACAGCTTTAGGAGCTGGACTGGAAAGGAAGCAGGGAAAGCAGTGGTCAGATACTCATCACAGAGGCATTTTATGGACAGGTACAATGACATGCATGGAAGCAAAACAAATTCTGAAAGCCTGATATGGTTTGCTGGGGCAGAAAGTCCAGAAACTTGCCACAAACTATGCTTTGGAGAAGTTGCAGTGGAAGTCCATTGCTGTTCAATAAAATCAAATTATTGCTTATGGAAGAGAAGTATTTTCCTGGACTTCAACTCTTTAACAAAGGGCATCTGCACACCTCTGAAGGAGCTATCTCAGAAGCTGCATGAGAGTGTTTACATGCCTTGGTTCCAACTGTGCCACCCAGACATGTTCAAAACCACTTCACAAAAAGGTTTTCATTCTTTAATTCTCACATTTCACCAAAAAGTTGTACTAATTACTATGGTTCAGAGCAACCGTTATTTTGCAAGAGAATTTTGACAATGTGCAAAGGCTATAAAAGCTAATCCTTCAATTTCTTTATGAAGTGTATACTGCAAAAGACCTTAATGAGCATGAAGCTCTCAACAGAATCAGTAATTTGTTAGACCTAGAAAAATAATGTCTGCTTTTCCTAGCATCTGTCTAGGTTTGATTGTGTTGGACCAAACGGCTGCCATCAGGCAATGTGATATACATTATATATATGCCATCCACAAGTGGAATACCACAGCCTCTTTTCTCATTCATGATTGATGACTTTTGACTGCCGGGGCTCTGTTGCCCTGCACACAAAGGTGAACACACAAACCACGGATGCTGTCAGGGTAGCAGCCTTCATTTTGGAGTCTCAGAAGCTCAAGAGTGATTAGAAGGTGGCTGAGAGTTATTATGAACCCTGAGAGTGCTGCCAAACCTCTTAGTCTGCATGTCTGTGCAATTAAGAGAGCAGCAAAAGAGACATTTCTTGATGGCATTCCCTTAGATATGTTTGCTAACAAAAACACCTGAGAAAGCAATGGCATGGGGGTGGGAGAGGAACGTTGTTTTACTGCTTTTTACACCTGCTATATACAATAACTCTAGACTTTTTCTTGTCCCATTCTCACCAGTAGCTGTCTGTTCAGCTGGCTCAGGTTGCTGTTTTGGTGGCTCATTTTTACTAATCCTCTGCTTCAGTGTTTATGGAGGATATCACCAATAAACCTGCTGAATAAAGCAGGTAAAACCATATGCTGGTGGCTACCTGTGCTAGTTTGTATGCCATGACAGGGTTGATTTGTCTTTAAATGGTAAAATTTATTTTGTGCTGTTTTACAAGACTGCTTTGCTACCACAGTCTAGGAACCCTAATTCTCTAACTCCTTTAATAAGCTATGACCTAGAAATCCAAAGAAACCGGTTTAACCAGCGATCAGAACTATCAACAGGAAGCAATACAAGGACTTGCTGATTAAGCTCCAGTCTGTGTATTTTTTCTGTATGAGCTTTTTCTCCATGCTAAATAGCTGAACTCTTATTTTAACCACAGCAGGTCCTGCCTTGCCGCAGGACTGCCAAAGGCTGGACACAGAGCATCGTTGCACAACACATGTCATCCCTGAGGCTGAGAGGGGAAGAGGTCTCAGAGCCACAGGACAAGGACACATCACCTTACAGGTTGACAGAGGCAAAGAAGGGCAGCTACTGGAGAGAGGAGCCCTGAGCTATCACTCACACTGCAGTTTTCTTTGCTGTGACATAGTCACAAGCCAATGAAACGATTTCTGAAAGTGCTGGCTATTTTAAAGCCCGGTCATCAAATTCACCACCCAAAAATATATTCAGTGTAGATGTTTTCAAAGCTGGGTTCCTCCTCTTAAGTGAAAGACTGGCATGCTGTGACAGAAAGGGTCAGGGGTTTTGGAGGAAGCTCAGAGCCTGACTCCAGCCCAGCTCAACACCTGCATAACCATGCATGAGCCACCTGGGGCAAGGTCTCAGACATGGAAAGGAGCCCTAGGAGGGTTTTCTATCCATTACAACAGCTGTGCTCCTCTGTGTCACAGGCAACTGGGGAGGACAGCTTCAGAGATCTTAACGTACTCAGAATCATTGTTGATTTTAGGATGAATAAACAAAGCAGATCCACATGTATTTCTAGAGGTCCTTTTCACCCCAAATGCCTATTAACTCCAGTGACTACATCCAGACCCCTGGGAAAAACAGTCTGCACTCAAATTACTTACTGCTAGATATAGGGGTGACACAAAGTGTTAACTCCGCATTTTATTTTTAGCTAGTATCGTTGTGGCTCTACGACCATAGGATGAAAACTATTGCCCAAACTGTGTCTCTCATTCTTATTGTATTTGTATTTCAGATAAAGAGATCTTCATTATGATTGTGGAAATTTTCTGGAAAACTGTGTCTGCTGATAAAGATAAGCCAGCTGAATGACAGAAGCTTTCACACTGCTTTCTTAGCAAGAAAAATATTCAGTTATATTGTCAGACATAATGACTGATCTTTGAATTAAGATAAAATGTTGCATATATGCTACAAATATTTCTTTGCAAAACACGGAGAAAGGAGTTTACAAATCAAATATTTATTCATTCTTTTGCAGGTATTATTTCCATCAAGTTTATGCCTAGGACAATTTTATATACACATCTCAGAAATTGTTCTCTGTGGAATTTGCATAATACCTTGTAAGTCTATTTGGCTGTAAGAAATTCCCAGAGCATATATCTACTTATACACAAAATGAACTAAAATTAAAGGGCTGCTTTTCAGAGTTTGATTCCACATGTATTTGTTATAAAGACAATAACTGGCGGCTAGTCAGACAATAGTCAAGTCAATAGTTCTGCATGTGACTGTTGGATACAAATGCTGGGTCTAAAAGCTGTTTCTAAAATCTCTCAGGGCCACCTTGTGCAACATTTATGTTAATTACTACCTTTCACTGCATTGTGTGTGAGAACAACACTGAAGAAAATTTTTCTTGAGCCAAGTAACACCTATCAGAATTCAATTCATAAAACCTGTGTTTCAATGCAATGTTAGAATTTCTACTGATGTGGTTCCACGTCTGATGGAAATCAAAGGCTATGGGCACAAATTGGTCCATCAGAGCATACATGGTTCTCAGCCATGGCAGTTTTATGAGAACAGGCATGTGCAAGGGTCAACTCTCATTGGGAGAGTTTAGTCTACATGCAATCTATTCAGGCAGCCTAGTTCAAACCTACTCCGATTTGGAAGAACAAGAATAAAAAAATCATAAGGCACATGGAGAAATGGTTTTTGGAAAAATCAGAGAGGACAGGTATGTCCTTAATAAGCAGGGAGGAGCCAGTTTCACTTCTGTGCTGGATGGTAGCACAATAGAGAACCCATTTTGCTGATGGATACACCTTCAGCTGATGGGAATACCATCACTTTGGTATTACTACTTTGCAGTAAGCCAGGTCTCAGTGGCTGCTGTACAGGTCCCACCAGTGCCAATGGCTGTAACCTGGGCAGTCCACATCCCAGTTCAGGGCATGCTGCAGACACAGGTGCACCTCTCACATCCCCTGGAAGCCTCTCTGCCTGCATCTGCCATGGAAACTAGGATCCCATGCCTCATCTTGCCACGACCATCCTTGGCTGTGCATTTACCAGCACGCTGTATCCACTAACAGATGTTGGCAGTATCCTTGAACCGTTGCTAAACTTGGTCCAGGCAGGTTCAGACGTGTGCTACTCTCACACTTAAAACGCGGCAACACCCTTGAAGAAATGCAACCAGATTATGCCTAGTTTACTCCAACAGCATCACAGATTTTCCTTTTATGCAGGTTATTTGTATTAAGGAGGCAAAGGTCTTAAAATCCAAGGGCTAGCACTTCCATTGACACGTGCTTCCCTGGGGGATGAAGCATGCACTGCAGCCTGCACCCTCAGAGATCGTTTGAAAGACCATTAGGAGATATGTGATGAGTGGCAGTGGCTGTGCTCTTGCAGAGGGATGCTGATCCTGCCCCTTCCCTCACATCCCATGGGTTGCCTCTGCAGAAGCAGCCTTTGCATGCACAGTACCTGCCGTTTCTGGTGTCGTGTTGCCGCATGTTCTTGATAAAATGAACCTTCTTAAAGTTCTTTGGTCTGGGTGATCCTGAGAGTGTCCGACATCTGAAAAATAAATCAGTTGCAAGGGAGGGGAGGGAGAAGAAAAAAAAAAAAAAGTTCTCAATTCCCTGCTGTACCGCCAAGAAGTCTACACAAAAGCAGGAAGGAAAGACGAGACAAATGATTCAAGTCACCCTGTGCTAGGAATCAGCAAGAACAATAAAGACAATAAGTCTGGAAACACGACAGCTCAAACAAAAAATAATATTTAAAATAATAATAAGAAAGGCACCATCCCCCTCCCTTCATGCAAAAAAACCCCAAAACACCAAAAAACAAACTCGTAAAAAAACTCAGCAAAGTAAAACTTCCTGTAATCTGCCATGACAGCTGAGCCCAAGCTTTCAGAAAAAAAAAATTAAACTAAACCAAAACCTAGAAAATATGCAATTTTCCCCACTCGCACCAACACCCACGCTTTTGTACGCTCCTCAGCTATTGATAAAGGACCCATTGAGGGAAGTTCTTTCTTGTTTTAATTTTAGAAAGATTTAAAATCTCCTATTTGCAAAGATAATTCCTATTTGATTTTAACTCTAAATATTACTTTTCATGTTCCTGACAGTATATGAAACAACTGAAAATAAAATAAACTACCCCAGGAAAAAAAGAATAATTGTTCTTCAAAACATTGAGCCTTAAATCTATTTTACATCTGAATACACTTTATAAATTGCAGTTACAGAAAGAAATTGCCAGAGGGAGGAGAGATGAGACAAACAGCAATATCCTCCCCCCCCTCGCCTTCCACCCTTGCTCTTTCTAATCAGCTGAAACCACGGCGCATGTGAAAGCGCTCTCTGTTTCATCTCAGGGCTGTTTTGTTGCAAGGCGAGGCAGAGCTCCCAGACACTGGAGATGAGTCCTGTGCTCACAGCACAGCCAGGGCTGGACTGCAGCTGCTGCAATCCTCCTGGCACCCACAGGACCAGCATCCTCTGCCGGTGCATGGGACCACCACAGTCCCTTGGTGTTAAGCTTCCCTAACCTATCTTTTCCATCTTCTAACCTTCTTTCCATCTTCTCCCCAGTGCAGGCGGAGTTCAGCAGCTTCTCAAACCATGCTGGACTGAAACCACAGGCCACCATGCCAGTCCCTACCACTGTACCTAAACGCCATCGTGCTGCACGGGCACACCCTAAGAGGGGCACCCCATCACTCTGCCACTTCTGCTTTCCTCCTGCTAGTAAAGGCCTTAAGATTCCCTCACCCTCTGATTGCAGTTAGCCTTGTTAGCTTCTCCACAGGAAAATGGCACCAAGAGAGACATTCTACCACAAATTCTGCAAATTAGCAAGTAAAAGTGCTGCCTGGCAAACCATACTTTGTTTATATCTTTTACCAATTATACATGTTTGAATCACTTATGGGAACTATTCATAACATGCTGGTAAGCAAGCAACAGTAAGCTTTGTAAAAATAATCAAGCTTTGGTAATAAGCCAATTGGTACAGCCTCTGCTACTCTTTGCTTCGAGGTAGGGAGAGACAGCCAATCTGCATGTGGATAAATAAGGCTAAACACCAATATAAACCAGCTGAATTACAGGTCCTAAGATAAAGAGGCTGTCAAACTTAGGCTGCCGTCTTGCCGAACAGCTGACCTGGAAGCATTCCATGCACTGGTCAGATTACTGACCAGCCAGTTTCTGAACTGTTAAGCAGTTGCTCCATTTTCCATCACCCCAGAGGATTGCCTAGCGACTAATTACTGTGGTCCCCAGACAAGGAAGCTGTGGTCTCCCAGATGCACAAATCAAACCGCACTGAAGCTGCCACTATTGACAAGGATGGGAGCAGATTTATTAGTGGGGTAGCAGTCACAAACCTACCAGCCAACACGCAGACAGTAATGCTGGTAACCAAAATAAGCTTGCTTGTGCTGAGAGAATAAATAGTAAAACTTCATTAAAAATACTAGCCTTCAAAAACTTACTGTTGTAAACCATCTCTACGTACTTTTTAAATGTACCACAGATGTTAGGGTACTACTGACTAGGGGCTAGTCATTCGTATTGGTGCCAACTAAACTTTTCTATTAATCAAATCTGGCATTTTAATTCCTGACATTTAATCTAAATACTGGCTTTTTGTTTAATGACCTAAAGCCAGGGAATGTGCAATTCCTATCAGCCACCACCTCACAGGGCATGTGGAGTTTCAACACTTTCACTCACTATGAGGAATATCTCAATGTGAAGACCCAGCTACTTTTCAACATGAGGAGGGAGAGCAAGACTGCCCATGCACGTGCTTTACAGACAAGAAGCCAGAGAGAGAGAGAGAGAGTAAATAAAATGACCTCCGCAGCGGGGCGTTTTCCTCAATGTCCTCCAGAGTCTCCAGAGAAGATCGCTGGGAGATCAGCCGACGTCTGCGGAGAAAGCAGAACACAAAACATCACTGCTGATTAGAGGGCACAAGAAAGTCCTCAGAGCTGTTATTCAGTTAAGATCACGCCCCTCACTAGCCAAGCCATACCTTTTGTTATTAATAAATTTTGTTCCACTCTGCTTATCTTAATCTATTTGTTTCCACCCAGAAGCCAACTTACTCCATACAAGCTGCTACAGCAGAGCAGAAGTTGCAGTTTTGCAACAGCTCCTCCTCAGTTTGTGCTCCCCTTCCTTCAAGGGTTTAACACCCATCTAACACAGTCCCACATGTGCTGCAGTACAGTTGGCAGTGCTACAAGTACAGAGCTTTGACAAAATAATGCAGACAGATTCACAGAGACTGCCTGTCCTTCACACTGCCACTGGGGACACTTCTCTTTGCCCCTTGCACTTTCTACCAAGCAAGTGCTGCTTGTTTCTCCATGATGTCCATCTCATCACCCCTGCCAGGAGTGTCTGAAGTGACATGAAAGATGATAGTGCCAGCAACACTGTTCATAAAGCAGCAGTTTAAACAGAAGCTCTGACCATCCCCATGAGCTGCACAGGTGAGCTAAGCTCTGCTTTAAACCATTTTCCTGTGTCTGAGTCACATCCTTCCTCTACCTTCAAAGAAATAATTACCGAAATCTTAGCATTACAGGTTTTCTCTCTGTTCTAGCAGGCAGGGATGCCCCAGTACAGGCTTTCTTTTAGCAGCCATTACTGCTGCACAACCTCCAAACACCCAGACAGCAGCACAAAACCAGGACTGCACCCAACCCTCCAAAAAAACACCGTAAATACCAAGAATGACTGTGTAAGACATGGCCCACCCGCAGGCACATAAAGAGAAATTAAGCTGGCAATCATTGAAACTACTCCGTCGTTGATGGGCGTCAAAACAGCTGCAGCAGCCAGCAGAGCCGTGGCACTGTGCCCCAGCACCTGGCTGGCAGGAGCTGTGCCAGCACCCATTGATCCCAGGGCCATGGCTGAGGCACAGAGCACCTCACCAGTGACTTCACGAGTAGGAACGATAGAAGTCCTCAAAGACTATCACTGTTTCTTGCCCAATTCCCACTGAGCTGCCTTACTCCCTTCACCTGCAAGCAAAGAGTTTCAAGAATGTCATGAACACTCCTATATGCTTGGAAAGGTGCTCATTAATTCATTTATGGGCTGTATTTTATATATTGTTTTTCTCTGATGCCAGTGTAAGCAATTTCTAATCCTTCCTGCAATTCCCTTGCCCCTCCAGTTGTGCTGCTACAACTGTTCCTGCAGTCGTGCTGCAAATCTGATTACCAAAATGTTTTTCAGTTCAAAATAACCCTGAGGTTCAGTCATTCCATTTGTTGTTAATTCAAACACCCAATTTCTATCACTTTCCCACTGACAACGCATGTCAGGACAATTTTAATGTGCACACAGCTTTTTCTTTAGTCCTTAGAAAATCATAGAAAACCCCTCAAACAATTTTTAGATCAATTAAGTGTGAAGTATAATCCTCTTAGGAAAAATATGCAAACCTAAATCTCCTCAGGCTTTGTCTAAACTAGGATTTTAGAAGATCTGGTGCAAGATAGGATACACCTTCAAAATGCTAAAAAAAAAAAAAAAAGCCTGCATTTCAGGATGTGCTGGCATAGACAAGAAGAGACCAAACACCTGTCTCTTGCACCCATGGATGCTCCCACAGCTCCATCCACAGTCAGAGAGGACACAGGAATTGTTCTTATTGGGAGAAATTCAGATCAGGAGGAGCTCCTCCTCCTTTTTCGGTTTCACTGATCCATAAGAAAAAGCTGGAAGTTTCAACTACCAGCACCACTGGTAGATGAGGTGGCAGATGATAGCTGTTGGCTTTTTAATACCTCTTTATACATCATTAGCTTAATAACACAAATAATGGCATGCTCCCATCTTGCGGTGTTACAACACCAAAATCATACTTGGCATGTTGTTAGTCAAAGAGAGATAAACAACGGTACAACCTCGCCACCTTCTTCATATTAAATTTATCAAATTAGTCATGCTGTAGATGCCGGGTGCTTGGTACAGCACCAGGTGCATATTCCAGCTGCCACTGAAGCCTTTTTCCAAGAGTCTCCTTGCCCAAAGTTATGCACCATCCTCAACTTCATTGACGATAGTTTGTCAGACACGGGTTTGAAGATCGTACATTTGCATCTGTCATTGAGGCAGATGTGCTGGGCTGCAGGAACACACACAACTGCATTTCACCAGCTGGTCATCCAGCTGCCTGCTGGAGTCCTCTGGCTTCCCTCGCTGGTCTCAACTTTCTAAACCTGGCACCAGGGATGCTGCCTCCTGACTTCTGCTTGCTAACCTCACATAGGCTGGATGGGAATCACTGCCACCTCTCTTGGTGTGAAAGACCTCGCACCGATTTTCACCAGTACTGATTTTGTAGTGTTTTGGGTACCTTACGTGACAAGTGAGTCTGCACAAAGGAGTGGGGGAAGCTCTTTGTTCACCCAAACTTGGGAGAGGAGCACTGATACCTGACCTCCCTCCCAAATGGGACATAATAAAAGCATAACTCTGGATAAATCCATCCAGGAAGAAAGGAAGAAAATACAAATAAAAGGTACTGGTAGCAGTGAGAGCAAGGATATCCAGCCCAGCCCCCAACCCAGCTGAAAACTGCCACATTTTTCACCTCTCCCCAGAATTATTAGTTTTAATCACTTCAACTCTCAGCACTGTCAAAGGAGCACAGGAGAGGCGGATTTGGAACAGCTCTGTTGAAATCAGTTCATACTGTCCAGGAATCACACCCTCTTTTCACTGAAGAAGCTCAGCTGCAGTGAAGGATGTGCAATTATTCCACTTTATCTTAAATCTTTATTTCAAGGCCTAATTAAGATGACCTAAATACCAGTATTTTATAAGCCTTCCACAGCTGGATATTATACTAGAAATGCCAACTAATGAATCTACCTGCTGTGAACAAAGTCACATCCTGTGCCACACACACAGGACAAAAAACAATTTTGGGAAAGCAAAGCTTTTGAAAGGATCTTCCAGGGAATACAAGAAAAATCACTTTTTCATTGACTACATTAAGAATTAATCACCTCAACTGTGTTTAGTATTTAAATTAATCATCTTTCTCTCTTCAGGCAAGCAGCCATGGTTTGTCTATACAACTCCTAAAAGGGTTATTTTTCAAAAATTGATTTTCATTCTATAGCAGCTGGTGTATGTAGACACTTGCACTGAAATAACCGAAACTGTTTTATATCACACATCACTATCATTCTGATGTAAAGCTGTGTTGATACCTATTTTGTATTTAAAAATGCCCTATTTCAATAATAATTATGGGAAAATCGTATTGTGAAGGAAGAATATATGCAGAACAAGACAAAACAGCACTACGTGACTCACACAGGATTCAGGCTTTGGGATGAGTCTCTAAGCAGATGCAATTTCAATATAAAATGCTTTAAAACTTTTGTAGAGTAAATGCCAGTCAACTAACACACAAAAGTACAATTGTCCTTAATAAACAAACTAAAGAAGTTCCAATAAAAATGTTAATTTCTGCTAGTCCACAGAAAGCCTTAAAAAATTCCTCCTAGTTTAATGATCACATTCTAGGATTACTAAACTCATCCTCACTCCCCATAGCCAATTCACAAACACAGGAAAAGGCAGATCAGCACTGGAAAGATGGTGACCTCCTCGTTCTAATGGTCAGCCCCTGTAGGACAATGGTCATGGTCTCATGCAAGTTACAGATTTATTTTGTTTAAAAACCATGTAGTATCACTTTCCCTTAAACACCTATCTAAAATATTTTTTGTCTGTTTCCTTGCTGTTGGTTCCCTGTGCATGTGCCCAGAAATAACCAGTACCCTGCAATCAAATTCCAAGTGCAGAGCAAAGAAACAAACTAAAGAGACATTTGATGCCATGGTATTTTAAATGGCTGTTTTCTAAGGTACTCATGACCCTGCTTGCATACTGGATTTATCTTTGACCAGCTGTCTGAATCTCTGTGGAAGTTTCTTAAAAGCTAAAATGTTGTCTTTATTTCCCCTCTCCAAAGTCAGATTAATACATTGCAAAAATGATATAAAATACAAGGGCAAAAAAAAGAAACTATAGACAAGGAAAAATGAAATAAGGCAGGTCTGTAACCAAAACTGCAAATAGCCAAAGCAAGTAGACTGCAAATATATTCACCATAACCACCCCATCTATCAGTAGAATATTATCTTCGCTCTCAGCTGCTGCAAAATACTCAGCTCAGTTATGTTAAACATACAAAATCTTAAGCCACATGCTGTCTAGCAGGTGATAAAAAAAAAAGAAGGAGCTGCAATCAGAACACTGGATAAATTCATCCAGGAAGGAAGGAAGGAAGGAAGAAAGCCAATGATAATCCAAGAGATAAGGAAAAATAAATCCATGTGTAATGACTTTCTAGCACAGCTATAAAACCAGGAAGAAAAAGCTGCATTTTAAACACAACTAATTTCTGTGAAAGTTAGGGGTGTAATTTTTCCCCCGCTTCTGTTAAGATTACAAACCTGTAACAACTGAAGCCAGCAGTGTGGGTGCTGCTGGCTCTCAGAACAAAAAACACCCCTGCAGGACAAGCTTCTTCCCTTTGTCTGGAACAACTGCATCCCTTCAGAGATGCAGTGACATGGGACACACAAGTGCCAATCATCCAAACACCTGCTGACTGCATTAACAGTGATGGGAGAACTTGGGAGGACAAAGGCATTTCCAGAGCTGAAGACTGCTGGCAGTTCCCATGTCCACTGGGCTACCTCTTCCCTTCAGGTGGCCAGGCAAAATGGGCAAGAATCATGGGGCAGAAACCTCTGGGCTGTTAACTTCTGCTCACAGCTGTGTTTATACTAATGTGGCTTGGAAGCATCAGAAAAGCACAGGACTGCTTGACACTTTGAAAATGTTGGATTCTTTATTTCCACTGTGCCTTCATCACAAAAGATGT